TCACCTGTGAATCTGAAGGGGGATACTAAACCCTTAGTGCCACCGTTGGGCTTGCGCACAGCAACAAGACGCCCGATCGCCAACGCAGCAGCGATGGGTTCGGGCACAGATGCGCGGGCTAGGAGAACTGCGACGTCTCCAAGGGCCGGGATGGCGCAGTAATGTCATGCGCGTCACGGATGAGTTGGAGGGTGGTGCTCAGGGCACGTCGTAATTGTGGCTTACAGAAAGGGGGAGGCATCCGCAACAAGGCGCAAGGTTGCGCTACAAGGTCCGTGGCCGTGAAAGGGTCGAGACTGGCCAAGGCTGCTTGCAAACGCAGACCACGCAACAGGTCTGCAGACGGGGGGGTGGTTATTGGTTGAAGGGGGTGGGGGCCGTTGGCGGCGACAGACGACGAGCTGGAAGGCCATCGTCAGGGCCATCTGCGCCAGCGGGGGGCGACCGGGTCCCCGGCAGGTGCGCGCGCGGCAGCTTGCACAAGGGCCGCCACGGCGGATTCGCCCAGGAAGACGTGGAGGAGCGCTTCTTGGGCAGTGGCTGGGATGTCTCCATCCGGTTGCACAACTTTGCCCCACGCCCACGGGAGGTTGGAGCGGGGAGGACACTAGCTGCGGAGGTTAAACTGAGGAGGAACTGAGACTCAGGAACGGGAACGGGCCGTCCTTCCTGCGCACCAGGGAGCAGTTTCCTCGGGCGGTGCGCGCGGTGCTTGCACGGAGGCGCTGGCACGGGGATGCGCTCCCCGGGACACGGGAGTACTTCGGGAGGGACAGCAGACCCAACCGGCTGCTTTTTCGCAAGTCCAAGGCGAGGGCCATGGGTCGGGCACGTGGGTCGTTCCGAGTCTGGCGGAAGTGGTGGGAGGTGTCGACCGTTGCATTCCAGCGAAAGCAAGTCCACTCTGGCTCCCAAGTGTTGGCTTGCTTGTTGTAGACCGGTGCCCAGTGCATGTGGCTGTCAAGGAGCGCAGAAAACACGCGGACAGCAGAAAGGTAGCACGGCTGGGGGTGGTTGCAGGGCAGATGCCTCATGGTGCCAACGAGACGTAGTGTCATGGTCCGGGGCAGGTGCTCATTGTGCAATCTGCAGGCCGCCTGGAACACGTCGGCTCCCCAAGCTGGCAATCCTCCGCGGCACGAAGGGCAGTTGAGGGTGACGCGGTGGGCGGCGCACCCGAGGTGAAGAGGGTGGCGGCAGACGGGCCACAGGAAGATTGCTTCCGCACCATTGGCCCCCTGCTCAAGTTCGCAAAGGCAAACAGGGCAAGCATTGGCTGAGGGGGAACTCGGCGGAGGCAGAGCCGGGCGGTCTGATGCCTTGCATGGGGCCTAAACATGCCTAAGCCCTAAGCGTGGGGCAAAGTGCGCTTACTAGCCCTCTCTGCGTGACGCGGCGACCTCGCGCAAAGCAGCCAGGGTTGCAAGGCTCTCGGATAAGACAAGCCAGAAGTGGACGTGAGACAGGAAGCAGGGCCGGACTGTCTCCACCCGAGGGGGACTGGATGCCAGAAGTCCAAGGCAGAGCCACACTGTCCCAAGGGGCGGTACCGGATGCTCACACAATGGCGTGGCGGCAGGGGCTCTAGAACGTTCAGATTCGGGGCCCAGGGCACCAGTTCTAGGAAACCCCTACACGTTGTTACCAGCAGGCTCACACAAGTTCAGACAGACAAGTCATCAAGCTCTCAACTTGAGCCAAAATGGCCTGAAAATGCAGCGTCCCTTCCCGTAGAGTTTTCGGGGCCGCTATAACTGAAGGGCTGCTCTGGCAAAGACGGCATGGCAGGGGTGAAGGTTTCCTGAAAAAGTGCGATTTCGCAACCTCGCATTGACAACAATTGTGAATGAAAACTTTCGGATAAATTGCCTGAATGCGACCATAACCTACGGCAATTGAGCGACATGAGACGGAAAATGTTCGACGCAGCGGAGTCGCCTACGAGCGCCGCGGACGTTTCCCGGCACCCGCCGCCGCTGGAGCGGTGCACGCCAAGGGCCTGGAGCGTGTGAGGCAGGGGGGATGGCGGCGGAGGTGGCGGAGGAGGGCAGCACCCGCCCAATGGCCGTGTCTCACCACGACGCCTTGTTCTTGAAACCAATGGCAAACGTTCCCACTCAGCTTGCTGCTGCAGGCGACGGAGGATTTTGCACACGAGGTGGGGGAGGGGGTGGGTGGCGGCACGAAACGATGAGCAACCCTTGGAGGTGGAGGAGGTGGGGGGAAAGGCGCCAGAACACTATTTGCATTATTCCTTGTGGCTTCGGGAGGCGTCACTTGTGCCGTGTGGAGGCTGGTGGACTCAGCACAAAGGCCTGGCAACCGCGAGCTCAATTTTTGGAGGATGCTATTTACCATGTTGGATAAAAACAAGACAGAAGAGTGCAGATCTTGGATATCTTGAGATAAACGTGCTAATGATTCTGGGCCAATCGGATTCGAAGGGCGCGTGTCGCAGCACGGAATCTGCACAAACAGCATGTTCACCGAAACCCGCGTTGGTAAGTTTTTTTCAACACGCACGCAACAATGGCAGAAGAGATCCAATAGTTGACAACGTGTCAGCATGGAAGGTTTTTTTTTTGGCCGCGTGAAACAGAACACCCCAAACTAATTGGGGTCGGCGACCAAACGCGCCGTGCCTGCGGTTGATTCGCAGCCAAGCACCCCACGCAGTGGTGCCCTCAATCCTAACTTGTGGGACGAATAATAGCAATAATGACGTTGGCAGGTGTAGCAGCAGAGTACAGCACACAACGAAGACAGCCATATCAGTCATATCCAACGCCAGGGGTATAAGACCTAGGGGCTTGCGCGTTGGGAGGTGGTAACAATTTAACAAAAAAATAGTTGGGAAACCTCCTTCCAGTTGAAGATGCAAATTACGAACAACCGTGGCACGGTGTGTGTGTGTGTGAATTATTGACTTATGGAACCGTTCTGCATTAAGGTTGGCCTCAAGACAAAAACACGTGTTGGCATGGTTGCGTGATGTGGTGTGCTACAGCAGGTCGCGTGGAGTGTATGCAATAGAATGGGGGGCTGCAGTTGTTTTGAAGATTGCCTAGAAAACGAAGCGTAGTTCGCTTGCACGGATGAAGTCCAGCTGCCACTTTAACTGGCCAAAGCCATGATTGGCTCAGCTAGGACAACCACAACTTTGGGTAAGTGCGTGCCCTGTTCGGCCCGCGATGTGGGGAGCAACCAGCAGCCCTGGCGCTGGTCGACGTGCTGGGACCGGTCGACCACGAGCTCAACCTTTTTTTTTTTGAAAAGGCCTTGCACGTTCACTTCAAAAAAAGAATAAATTTCATCCCCCCAGCCTGAAACCCCGAACCATGTTCCCATGACCACGTTGTCAAAGTTTTTTCTGCCACGTTCGCAAACAGTCACGCTTGTGCCAACATGTGTGCATCATCCTGCCACACCCCATGTAGACCTTTCTCACAGCCGTGCATGTTATTCGGGCTGAGGAAAGGGTATCCGTTGGTAAGTGTCTGTGGAAGCCCCGGACCGAGGCGGAGGGATCCAGAGAAAGCCAGAATTGATTGCAAAGGGGTGTTTAGGGCGGAAATGATTGCAAGGCGGGAGGTTACATTTCTCATTTCGGGATGATCAAGGGGCCACAAACATGGATCGGCGCCGGAAAAACGGATCAGCAGGTCAGAGAAAAAATGGTCAGGAGAGCAGTTTTCTTGTAAAAGCAAGCAACTCATTCAGGATGTTAAGAGCACAGGTTGCCTTTTCATTCTGCGTCGAAGATTCGGATGTGCGCTCCTCTTTTATAGATACGACCCTCCCGGGCAAGTAGCATCGAGCTACCTTAGCGGAACAATTCTTCAGCTCATACCATACACGCGCCAACGTAAAGACATTCATTTTTTCTGCCTGAATGACAATGCAGCCGAACAGGTCTGGAGCACGGGTGTCCTCACAAAACATTTTGTCGTGCGTATTGGCTAGCCCAAGACAGTGAATGGAGTGAATGCATGGTTTGTTTGGCATTATTCGGCTTGGTCATTCAACCCAATTGGTGCGGCTCAAGCGCAACCATGCAGCCGTGACAAGTTGTGAAGCGCCCGTGTGGCGGCATCTCCAGGTACCTTCGAATTCTGCGCATTCATGTTACAAAGCCTCGGACACAACATGTGCGCAGGTCGGCTTCGATGGCGCAAGGATGGGATTCTGGTCAACCGCAGGACGGCAGCATGGTGCAGGACAGTCAGTCCATGCGAGAGCCAAGATTTGTCTGCACGGACACTGCCATCAGGATGGCCTGCTGCCAGGAATGGGGAAAGGCAATGAGTGTGTCGCGGCCTTGTTCCTCCATGCCGCCGAAACTTGCGCTGCAGGTTTCGGCAAAGGCCTCAAAATGGATGGCAGCGGGGCCAAGGCGGTTCAAGATGCAATGTAATGCGTTTGCGTAAGCCCGCGTGCCGTGCTGCACATTGGCATAGCCAGGTGAAAGCAAAGGTCCCTCCGCCTCTGGCCCGGTTCTCGGATATGTGTTGGCCGAGTTTGGAAGACAGTTCACGCAATGCGAGGTTTCTCCAGAATTGTTCGGAGCAGAAGTTCGGTACCTGGTCCTGTCTACTTTTTCTTGCGAGCCCCGCCGGCGTGTTTCCTTCAAATTATGCCGAGGATTTAATGAGATTTGAGGGTCACCACGGGTTGTGCATGTTCCAGGATGGAAGAGGATCCGGTGACACCCTTTGAGTGGTCTGTGGCTGCCGCAATAGCCAAAGTGCCCGGCACTGTGCGCTGGTCTTGTTTTTGAAATTGTTGGAGCAGTGGCCAGATCGATCCGTTCAGGCCAAGCTTTAACCAGCTGCGTCAAACATCTTTCGATGATGGCTCCCCAGATTTTCGCGGGTCCTGGTAGGTGTGATTTTTGGTTTGCCTTGGCCCAGGTGCTTCCTGTGTTGCCTGTGTCTGCGACACTTACGGATGACGAGCTTGACGAGCATCAGCGGGGATCCATTTTCCCATCTGGCAGTTAGGAACGGTGCATGCTTTTTCTCAACTCTTCAGGCTTGCTCGATCAAAGAGGAAAGATCCTCGCCAGACGATCGCAGCGGTTCCATCGATCAGGTTGATGCCAGGCAAGCTTTTTTGTTGATGGCTTCCACTTCGCCCATGTTGTAGCTTCAGCAGGGAGGTGTGGCGGGAGAGAACCGTGTGATTCGCTTTTTGCCCCAGCCACTCCAAGTCAATGCTCGCACTATGCCCCCTTGTGCTTCAGAAAATGTATTCTGAGCTACCCCAGGCTCTATTGACCGTTGCTGACCCACATCCCTTGGGAAGAAGCAAGGGCTTTCAGATCGTGAATTTGCAAATGCACGTTATAAGGCAGGTAAAGTTGCAGTTGCATGATGCCAACTTTTTGAGCTGAAAAAGGGTTGCAGCAGAAGTCAGGAGTGTGCCATAGGACGAAACAGTTTGCATTTGCAATGTCCAAAGGCGTTTGATTTCAGCAATTCGCGTTCTGCGGCAAAACTACTTGACAGATTCCTTTGAGCCGTAGAACTGATGAGTTTCAGCTTGGGGTTGACAAGGGCTTTCAGGCTCAGGATTTTAATTTGCGTGAGTCAAATCACGGATCCGCCTGTGTGGGTTTCGCGTCCATGGGCTGATGCAGGTCTGGCACATCCACTGACATTCAATGAGGAGCAAATGCTCCGTTTGTTTGTGACCGATCCTAGAAGCATGGTCGCATCCTTATGGCAACCCTTTCTGCGCTGCCCTAGACGAATTGTTTTGCAAGTAAGGCCTACAACCTGTCGAGCACACAGCGAAGCAGGGTACCGCTCAGCATAGAGCAGCAGGGCTCTTGGGCAAGCACGTGTTTCACAGTAGTTTAACCTTCAACTTGCCATTGGAGGTGTGAGATGGCGCACAGAATTGTCGTCCCTGTCTCATGCATTCTACAGTATTCTGTCGTGAAGAGCCCTTCTGCATTTTGTGATCAGTTGGAACGCCACGAAGTACTTCGAAGCGCCTTCAGCCTGGAAGATCAAGGAAATCCGACTCGAAAGGCAAGCCCCATGGCAAGCTTCATTTCAGTATGGCTCGGCATTGCTTGGACCACTTTGTGCCGTGCTCTGCCAGGTCATGAAGGAGCACGTTGGAGGCGGCACGGGAACATGCTTTGCGAGTGATGTTGTGCGAGAATGTCAGGCTTCTACGCATTGGCGTTGCCTGATGAGGGCATGGCTCAAGCCATTGCCGGCATGGACTATGCCACGCCCCACATGCCCGCCACTAAGACATCTGCAGAAGCTGCATGCAATTTGTTCAGCGCTTGTCAATCGCATTGGCCAGGCTGGGAGTCTGTGCCATTCGGCTGCTGTACTCCCCGTCGAGGGACAACTTCCCAGCCATGCATGTTCAGCCCTCATTTCCGCGATTCGCAGTGATGTACTCGTGTGTGATTCGGCTGGCAAGGGTGTATTCAAGACCTGCTTTTGGAAATTGCGTGCTAAGGTCAATATGCATCACATTCTAGCCTGCCACCAAGGTTAGTACTTGGTCGCCACACCGTGATTCGGCTTCTGTCTTTGTTGTCCACAACGGCTACAGGCTGACAATGATGCCTTGCTGACTTTCTGGATGGAGTCATTCCAGGTTCAGGACATTCTGACCTGAGTGCGATACTATCAAACCAGCCCTTTTGCTGATGCTGTCTGATGTGCGCACGAGGAACTCCTGTACTATGGTTACTCCAAGGAGGCACGTTTCCATCACTTTTTGCACCCTCCTGCAGTTGCATGTTTTTTAAGTATGTCGGAAGTCAAGAGACCAGAAAGATGTTCGCAAAGTTCGCATGTGCCAAACTGCTTTTTTCCGGAATACCTTTCGTACCACAGCTTTGGGACAAGTTGCGACAAGCCTCAAGTGGGGCCCATAAAAATTGATTATAATTATCCAATAAGGGTGCGGCGACACACAGGGTTGAGAAAAAGAGTCAGATCATGATCAACAAGAATCCAAGCCATAATCAAGAACAAATTCAACCTTACAAAGCTTTCAGGTTCTTATGGCACTTTTTTAAAGGTTTTGCTACCAAAGCTACATTTCTCCTTTGACTTTCTGGTTTCGTTGGAAAACAGAACGAAAGGAGGAGAAGGGAAGCACGCAAGAAAGTTGTCAGGAAAGCCAGGCAAACAGAGAAAACAGAAGGAAGACAACAAACAAAGAAATCGATGGTCATTGTTTTCATAATTATTCTGTATGTTTCATGGCTTTGGTATTGTTGCACCAGTTTCCATGACATGTTCATCACTTGCTAATTTTTCATGATTTTCCATCATTGTTTATCATTATATATTATATATATGTTTTTTTCCTTTTTCATGACATCCCATCACTTTCCTACATTTTTAAGAGTTTCCAGCAATTTTCATCATCTGCCATCATGTTTCATCATCACTTACCATGTTGCATCATATCTTGTCATGCTTCAAGATTTTCATCATGTGTAGTCACTCGTCAGCCATGTTCATCATTTTTCATCGCTTTGTTGCCTCTCGTCATTTCCGTACTTTTTTCACAGTGTTGCTTTACCACCATTTCCATCCTTTTTCATTTGAATATCTTCTGTATCTCCAACTTGTTTCATCATCTGCCATCATTATCTTCGATCACTTGTCAGCAATGTTCATCATTTTCGTCGCTTTTGTCATTTTCATCGTTTGTGTAATTGTCATCATTTTCCTTTTCCATCATCATGATCCACATTTTTCCGTCACGTTACTGTGGCGACAACCTCGGTTTCACAATTGCACATCAGCCAGCCGGCCGAAAGCTGATTGGGCGATCGGTGCACCATTCTCCCACCCCTCCCTACCCCTCGGCGTAAGACCCAAGCTTTGTGGCTGACTATCTTACCTGGCTGATCAGCTACCCTAGCCGGCTAAACTCGCCTCATTAGTCCAAGGTTGGCACGCCCCATTCGCCCAAGCGTTCGAGGAGGGTTTTTTAAATTCAGGCTTGCCGCAACAGTCCAAAGTTGGCCCGGTAGTTCAAGGCACGCATCTATTCGTGCCAGGGTTTGAGGAGCCTTTTTTGTTCAGGCTCGCCTCATTGCTCCAAGCGTTGGCCCACTACAAGGCACCCCGCGTTAATGTCCCTATGCTGTCTGATCCGGAGGATCTGGATGGCACACTTGTTCCGGAGGGTTTGGATCGTGATTTGTTTTAATCTGTCTGCATGTGCATGATGACTACCAGATGGGCCCTCGGAGAACGCAGCCAATACAAGTGAGTCATGCTGCACGAACCGCATGCTTTGGTTCGCAACGGGAGTGGCGCGGGGAAGAGAACAAATCCCTGCCTTCAAGAACAAAATTGTTACTAGGTCCTTGACTTAAGGCGTCCGGGGTAGGCGAAAGGCGTCAACACGGCGCGTCATATAGGCTTGCGGGACTTGACATGATGCCTCAAAATGCGGGGTGCCCCTGGTGACTCGCATGAACCTAACTGTATAAAATGAGGTGCTCTCAGTCCGTTTAGAACGATGCATACCGTGATTTCAAAGGTGCAGCCTGCGTCGCGCATACAATTTGTTAGGCTTGGTAATATAGGAACGCAATACGTGACAAGGGCGTCTACACGGGGATTTGGGCTTGCAGATTCGGATGCGTACCGTGATTTCTGAGCTGCAGCCTGGGTCTCGCGCACAATTTGCTAGTTTTGGTAACATTGCAACACAAGACGCGATAAGGGCGTCTACATGGGAATTTGAAGCCCGTGGGGTGCCTTTGGGGTGCCTTTTGCCTACGGCGGCGTCCAAGACCAGTGGGGTGCCTTTTGCCCGCGTGAGGCGCCTTAGGTCGCTCACTTGCAGCACCTGTAGTAGCCTCATGTATGACAAACGTAAACAGCGGAGCCCCTGTTGCAGCGCTGGTCACAAGCAAGTCAAGGTTCCAACTGCCATGAGATAATTTCAGGAACTTCTAAAGCCCTATGGACTTCCATGGGCGCAGTCTGGGGCCGAGAAGCCATGCTCACTCATTGATTCATATGATTTGCAAGAGAAGGTGGGCTGGGGTGGGATACTGATACTGGTTACAGTCAAAAATGCTGGACATCCAGGCTGATTCCAGAGCAGAATCAATCTGGGGACCTAATGTGGGTACGTAAATTGCTTCAAACAAGCGCCAGGAATGACGTGGGAAGACGCCATTTGGACAGATCTGCGCAGCAGGAGGAGACACGTCCAACCGCGCTATTCCAAAGTTTATCTGGCGTGCGTACCCTGGCTCAGGTCGGCGCGTGCGCGTCGTTGACAGAGTCATGACGTTTGGTCAGGTTCAGCTGCGAATGCCAAATGGAAAATAACTGTAAACATTCCATGTCAACCTCTTGATGTTTCCTCATATATATTCTTTTTCATCTTCTTTTCCGTTGTCTGTCACCGACTTTCATCACTTCCTCATACGTTTTCATCATTTAAGAGTAAGATGTCCATCATATCTTGCCATTGTCATGGCATTTGATCATTGTCAGCATTTTTGGCATGTTTTGTCATCCTTTCAGGTTTCATCATGTCTTTCCTCATGTTTCATCATTTTCATCATTTCTCAACATTTTTTCCATCAATTCTGTGCATCATTTTTCATTCATCATCTTCCATGATTTCCACCACGTTCCATTTTTCGATGATTTCCTTCAACCTAAGTCATGTGTCATTATATTTCATCATCTAGCAGCATTTTTCATGTTCCATCATTTTTTCATGGCTCAAGAGTTTTCTTCACTCATAGCCACTTTTTCGCATTGGTCATTTTCAAATTGTTTTTATCATATGTCCATCATGTTTTTTTTTTCCATCATGTTCACCTTTTCCCATGACTTCCAATCACTTTCAGTCACTGTACATGCTTTGCATGCGCTTCGCTCCCCACATCCCCCGCTGAAAAGGAAACAGAATAAATGCACGCAAGCGTCTGCAGAAAAGCCTTGACATGTGGGGTTATCCTGTCCTCCAGTTACCTTATTTGTACGAATGTTTGTACTACAGCTAGTGTATCGTTACTTGTAATGTTATCAATGGCTATTACATTCCCTGGGAACCGAATATTGGTTGCAATCAAAATCGTGGACAGCCAGAGTGATTCCAGCGCAGAATCAATTTGGGCAGAGTGATTCTCTGAGAAGCCAAATCAAAGCAGCATGGGGTTTTACACGACGGACAATATGCGCTTGTCAAGCTTGTAGCAATATTCAAGTGAAAATCAACATGAAACGCGCCACAGTTTTTCCATCATTTTCTTCATTTTCATCATGCTCTATCATGTTTCCTCAGTGTTCTATTTTTTAGTTTGATCTTCCGTCACATTTTACCATACTTGATTGTTTCTTGATGATCTTTCAGCACGTTTCATCCTGTGATCATTTAGACCATTTTGCATACTTCATCACGTCATCATATTTCATCATAGTTCGCGATTTGCCATCATTTTCATCATGACGGTCCAAAAGGCGACGCCAGTTACTGGGATGATGATCCCGACCCTGCGAACCACCTGACCGTCGCCAGTCTTGAAACGCCAAGGGGACCTGAGGGTCGAAAAGCGACGACGCCAACACTTTGTAAATTCCACGAAGATCTGAGCCTGCGAGGATCGCGACCCAGACCTCCCACGATCCTCTTGATTGTCAACACTAAGCCAAGTTTTAAGTTTTCATCATGGTTTGATTTAGTTGATCGTGCACCGTCCGCTGTCCAAATGTCATTCTCTCCAGCAATTTCTGGGCCCTCCCATTCCGGAGCTTTGTGCTCAGACATTGCAGCCGACGCCTTGAGGCCGTCAAGGAAAGACTGCCGAAGCTGCCACGGGCCCGGAAGCGCAAGCTTCGAACCAAATCGTTTCAGGTTCCTTTGATGGCTACCAGCTGCCGCCAACAGAGATCCACTTGTTGGACCTGAGCAGGTTCATGGCACATGTTCATAGAACCCACCATGTAAAAGATTTCCAAAGTGGTGGAACACGCTTCCCAATAGTTACGCATATAGTCGAATGCTGGTGAGCGTGTTTTCAAATGCTTTGGAATCCAAGCAGCTGCTAAGGCCTGTGCAATTCACAGACTTTGCTTATTGGCAAAAGTCACTTTTCTCGCGAGGCCTGCCATACCTGGTTTCTTAAAGGGCGGGCACAAGGCACCCAAGCACTTCTCGAGAAATTCCTGCCATTGCAGGCCTCTTGAAGCCGGACCTGTCATATTGGCTCAGATCCTAGCTTTGTCACATCCTGCGTGCGTGGATTGACCGGCAGGAGGGGTTTGATACGAGTTCAACCCAAATTGCGCAGAAAGTGCAATCCAGCAATTCATGAGGATGCTTGCCGTGTAAAAGTGTCAGAAGCCTTCAAATCCTAGTTCCCCAATCTCTGGCGATGGATGTTGTGTGACCGCCACAAGTCTAAGGTTTCTGGGCATACTTTTGATTAAAATCCAGATTCAGATGGCTCTGGCTCGCATGGTCGTGCAGTTGTTGTAGCTAATCAGTGCCAGTCATGAGCACAGGAGGCTGCGATGATGTGATTCGCTAGACTAGTTCTGAGATTTAGCGGAGGTCCGGGTGCAAGTGCCTTGAAAACAACCGGGTGCATTGTCCGCACGCAATCTTCTTGGAATGCTAAGGGGTCGGCAGATTGTGACATCACAGCCTCCAGCGGTGTTGGTCGGGGGCTTGACCTGTCCACTCTGCCAACATCTAAAGGGAGCCAAGCAGACACAGGATCTGTTGTACGCAGATCGATGCCTGAGGATGTGCCAATCGACGTCCCGCGGCCACGTGTGTGGGTTGCGGTTGGCGACAGCTCCGCACTAAGTTCAGCTCGCTTTGGGAGGTTGCATCTGGTGTTCTGATTCTGGACTGCGTGTCAGCCAGCTGGTACGCATGGCCGACACCGCGTCATGTCATTCAAATCAAGTGTTTGAACTTAATGCTTGTCTTCACGTTCGGGGACCCCATCCTACACAGTCGCAGATGCAGTTGCAGAGTACGTGCAAAAGTCGCTAGCATCAAGTGCTACGTGTTGTTCCGTTTGGCAAAAACCACTGCAAAGTTTACGTTGTGGCTTCAACTTCTAGCATGCTGGCACAGACAAGGTGCAAAGATTGACTTGGACCAGGAGCTGATGCTGCCGCGCCCCGGTTGCAGAAACCTCGTGCAGTTCATGGGCCGCGACTGAAGTTATAGTCGTTTTCGACGCATTTCTGAGCAGTTCTTCCCTCATGGTAAATCGCAGTTAATCTCCAGGATGTTGGGGAATGTTCTCCCAACCTTCGCGAATTGTGAGCTTTGAGCGCGTTCCCAAAGCGCCCGCTCGAAGCTGACAGCAGTCAAATGGCCAGCTACTAACGCTTGCTGCTGCCAGGGTCATGGACTTGAATCCACGCCGGGGGCCTTGCGGTTGTGGAAGGTCTCAAGTGTGCACTCGGTTTTCATGGTGAAATTTCCCGCAGAACCTTGCCGAGCGTCTATTGATCCCTTGAAGTGTCCCAAAAAAGACACTTCGAGGCATCACTCCTTTTGCCGTGGTGATCTGCAATTTCTCGTCCCGAGCTAAGCAGCCACACTGCCGTCTTGATCCATGAAGTGTCCCTTGGGACACGATGGTCATTACCACCCGCATTTCTTGAAATTCTCAGTCCTTTTGTAAGGCTGACGTGAAAGAAGTTGTAATGTTTTCTCTTGGGCATGTGATTTTGCGCAGCTCCACCTTCTACAGTAGCAAAGGCAACCAAGATGCAGTTTTGCACAGTGACTTGCCGAGATTGGCCAAGACTCTCGTCGCAAACAAGGTTGGCGTTGATGCGCATGGCGAACCAGCGCGTTGTTTACGCGGGGCCCTTAGGCTTGTGAAGCAATTCCGGGCTGTTGCACTTCTGGGGTTGAAGTGCCACCTGCAACCCCAATGGATCAACCGGACCGGAAAAGTATATAACTGGGCTGATCCAAGATGGCCACTGCCTTCGCTTTGCGCAGTCTCCCAGCATGACCCTCAGCTGCGGGAAGCAGGGGGGAAAGGTTGACATGGCGGGTCTTCTCAGTTTGGGAAAGTCAGACGCCAGGCTCATTGCACTTGAGTGAGCGAAACATGACAGGCAGTGGCAAACCTCATTGGCAACTTTCTTAACATGCTGCCGTGTCCTCAGCCCTTGCAAATGCCTGGCGACACATTTGTGTGAACAATGAGTCTCAGAGCCATGCAGCTGAGGCCGATCCGCGTTGCATATGACCCCACGGAGCCTTACATGCCAGCGCCTCGGGTATGATGTCTTCAAGAGAGTGCAGAATCAGAACCTGTGCGTCGCACTCAGGGACATTGCCTCACGCGTGGCGCAGTCCACCATCAATGTCCAGCGCTACAACCTGGCGCCGTTCATCCAAATTGCGGCCGCCTTGGCTGCCTGTCGACAACCGCTGGATGACAGTTCCGCAGCACACACTTCCAAGCTGGTCGCATGGCAATTAAGCTCTCGACTCCAAGCTCCAATGTAGACTGTAGACTCTTTGTCGCCTTTACCTGATTCAACGTGAATTGGCGCCACGAAGACGAATTGACTGCATCCTCATTTTCTGGCTCCGACGCCAGGTGACAGACACCCAGCCGCATTTTCCAACAGCTGATCCATCAAGGTGACAAACCTAGTAAGTTCATGCCAGACGAGATAAACATTTTGAGCTTATGCCGGCTACACGCGCTCAAACTTCGGGCTAAGGAACCCTGTCTACCAGCTCCTGACTTACTTTTTGAAGGCAGTTCCACGAGTGGTTCGGAGGCAGTGGCATTGAGATTGAGGTCCATGGTTGACGTGGTTCCTCGAGATGATGACAGCGACGAGCCCGCAGCTCACAGGGATGAATGAAACCGCATGGCACAGCTTTTTCTGACACTACTGATGGCTTCTGCAGGGTCGGTCTCAAAGGAGTTCTAGCCGCTTGGCAATTTGGCAAGTCTGTTGGATTTGGAGATGCACGGTCGTGGATCGTGGAAGCACCCTGTATTTACAATGACCTTGAATCCCAGAACAAGATTAAATTAGCTTGGCCTTCCGGACATTCTTAAGATGTCAGAGCACCCAAGGACGTATTCCTCTTTGCGAACACAAGGCGAGTCATTGTGCTTGCAAAGCAGCCCATGCAGCGCGATGCGGCCCTCTTTGTAGGTCCACACCTGTACGTGCCATGTGGCTAGGAATGGCCAAATCTTCAGACTGGACGGGGTTTTCAACAACACCGTCTGAGCCTTGCTGAAAACCCCTGCCGACGTGAGTTTACTTCCAACAGCCACACTGACGGCGGAACATGCTTGGCATGGCCTGAGGTTCTCACGAAGCAAACGGCATGAAGCTTATTTAGCGTCTGCTTGAGCTGGGATTGCTCCAAGATTCTCCTTGCCTGTCAGGTCCAGCTGATTCTCATGCACACAAAGGATGGGACCTTGCTTGCAAGTTCACCTGCAAAGAATCCCCTGAACCGTGTCAAGCCGTAATTTGACGTTGGCAAGACTCATTAATCCAATGTCAATCTCCAACCCAGAGGGTCTTAGAGTTCAGCTTTGCATGGCCTTAGACGCTTTAAATGCTATAGCAACCGCATGTCATACTGCTGCTTATCCAGTTGAAGCTCTGCAGGCTCTGACCCTTTGGGCGGCCCGTCATGCAAAGATGCCGCCACCTGGACTTCAAAGGAACTTGGGCTCATCAGAAAATCAAGCACAAATCATGCAGCACAGATCCAGAAGCGAGGACCACTGAATCAGGCAGGACAGTCTGGAGGAAGGAAGAGCAAGGACCGTTTTTGTTTTGCACCTGAGGACTCCCCCCTCCCATTGAATTGCATGATCCGCATCCATGTCTCGCAGACTCATTGGACTCGGTAGCGAGCGTTTGCGGCTTTTGGCTTGCATCTGAAACAGAGTCACTGACCAGACAATACTTTACTGGGGTTCCGCGGTCCGCCATCTTGAGGACTTTACTCGTCGAAGTTTTGATTTAAGCGAGTCTGCTGCGTTTCTGAGCATATCTTTAACAAAGTTTATGACAAGGCTTGAAGTTCATTGGTACCTGACGGGTTTCAGGCATTTTGGTGAGGTTCTTGTATTTTTGATCTCAGCTTTTTCAAGCCTGCGAGTTGCATTCGTGTATGGCTGAACACCAAGGATCCCTCGAATGCTGCGGCCGACTACCCAGCTTGGCTCTTTTTGTTAGGACTCGCTCCACCCCTGAGTTTCTAGCAAAGGCTTGCAAGTTGTTCCAATCCTCAACTGAAGAATTCTGTAGACTTGTGAAATCCTGTAAAGCTACTGGTCCAAAAGAACAGTAGTTCTGGAAACACCACTTGACATATCTTGACATATGTTCGCAGATGATCCTGAACATTCTTGAAACCCTGCAACAGCCACATCTTCCCCCCTCCGAGGCTTAGTGAGACTGCCCAGGAAGCAAAGGATGCCGCATTGAGCTCAGAGCCGTACTTGCCGTGACTGGCCTGTTGTCCTCTCCAAAAAACGCTGAGGACAGAGGCATCACCCTGACTCATGTGTTGGCTCGGAACCAGATAGGACCCAGAGCTGTGCAGAGCTGTGAGATGGTGAGTTTTCTTAAGTCACGCATTTGCTCCTGAAAGAGCCTGGGAGGGCTCTTGGTCCCAAGAGCGGGGGTCCCCCTCCCCCTGAATTTGTAATGCTCTGCTGTGCAGAATTCTAATTGATTAGCCTTTCCTAGGTTTACAAGAGGAAAGCACTGCTTTCATCATGTTTTTCTTTGTTGGAACTTGGAAATCAGCAGAACGACCATGAAGCTCTGCTTTTTACAGCTTTGTCCACAGGCAGCTAAGCTGGAATTCAGGGGCAAATTTGAATTGGGCTTCCTGTTTTGGTTGTTATCATTTCTTTGAACACAAATTATAGAAGTAATTTGAAACATGTCATCTGGAATTAGGGATTTTCTTGACTTTCCACGGAAAGGTGATTGTTTTATAGACATGAAGTGGGCCTCCTAAAAAGACTAACTGGAAGTGCGAATCCCTGTGATGTTTGAGGGTAATTCAAAGAGCAATCGCTCTCATTCACATCTAGAGGGCCGCCATTTTGTGTCATATGTCCTTCAATCAAGATCCCTGCGTCATTTTTGCAGACCAGTGATCATCCATGATTGGGCTGGGAGGTTTGCGAATAGCAGGGAAATCGATTACAGCTCCGGAGGCCGTAGAAGGTGGCTGGCATTGCATAGACTTCTAGCTTTCGTCCGCGCTGCTCCCAAGTGATTTACACATGCTTAATTGAGACAGCAACATGCAGGACTGCCTTCAGTGGCCGCTGTCTCCAGTGGCCCAGAGGCTCTGCTCCTCCAAGCGGGGTCTGGGGAAGAGCTTGCACAGGTATCCAGGATATTCCTAGCGCTCAGGGACTTGCTGGAGTATTGGTGTTGAGCACCTCAGCCTTGCACCGTAGTCACGACTTGTCAGGGCCCAGGCACTACTGATGAGCAGCGAGGCATTAGAGCGTCTCGCCGTCCGACTCCAAGTGGAAAGCAGTCTGAGTTTGTTCAGTGACCGAAGCTTGATGATCATTAGTGGCATGGGTGCACTTCGAATTCGTAAACCCCAGAAGTAGATCTTAGAACCTCCTAGGCTCAAGCAAGGCTCTGACATGAAGTCATGAAGCGCAGAGGGCGAGAGATGGGAGTGCTGGTTCGGCCTTCTGTTTGCATTCTAAGGTTTCAAGCTGCACTCTACCTTGGAGATGGGCCCGCAGCTTAGGGATAGAGCCCGGAATCGGCCTGCTTGCTGCGAAGGCACACATCCTTAGCGTGGTCTCATTACGGACTTGAAAAATTCCCATGCGAATACTGTCATAAAATGCTTTGGAATCCTTCCCGCAGAGCACGGATGCAAAAAGCTCAGATGATGCCGCACGAAAACGTGTGAACGCCCGAAACCCCACATGAGCTGGAGCAAGGCAGGCCGAAAGTGTCGGTGTTACTTATCATGGATGTGCGGGGACGCGGGAAAGCAGAGGCCGTGAGGCCGCGAGCGTATGCCATCCCATGTCATCTCGACAACCCGCTCAATCAAGCACTCAACCCAGCAGAATCGGTGTCAGATAGCTCGCGCCCGGCACCGGCAGCTAGGCCAAGGAAGCCTATTGAGAGCGACTGCAGATCACCCTGGGTCGCGAGGTGTGAACAATCAAAGCCCCCACAGAAAAGACTTCAGGGCATCTGCCTGCTTCGAATACAGGTGTTAAGTCAAAACAAAGTAGCAGGCACAACAGCAACTAGCAGAAAGTGATCTGATGCTGACCACGCACCGTGGACAGTCTTTCAATATGTTCATGGCCATTAGCTCTGTTGCTTCAAATAGCAAAAGGAGATTTCCAAGGTTTAGATACGTAACGTTGCCATTATGTAGCCAGGTTTTTGGCAATCTGGTCGTACTCACACAGCATGTATCCTATTGAGGGTGTCCGGCAGATTATTGTAGATTCTTCTGGAGGAGGAGTTCTAGAGTTTGATGCTTCATGAGAAGCAACACGCTGTGTCCAGGTGCAGACATGCCGCAGAGTCAGATGAAATCTGCAAAGCTGCCGACGTCGAGCCCTCAGCTAGCTGCCAAGCTGGACATCAAATTTTGGCAGGACTGTACCAGCGTTTCCGCGCGCCCCCTTGAAGCAAATAATTGATAAGGTAAATGGCTACTAGTATGGCTTCAGAGCCTATCACAGAAGCCTGGAGTGACATCTTTTTGTAAGATCTTAGAGCAAGCTTCGCCGGCTCTTTCAAGGGGCAACGCATGCAAGGCCACACATGAGCCACATACAGAACCTTGACACGATTTGAAATGTGATGTCCGGAAGTGCAAGCCCAAAAGCTCTGAACTTGGTGAGTTGGCTTCTTGGGTTCTTTTGGGACCTTCAGGTTTGAAAACTTAGGGGTGATGGTTGGCATCGCCCTCGATACAGTGTCACGAAACGGGTACTTGGCGTAAGCCTTCAGCCTCATAGCACGGCCAGGCCACTGCAGCCGCCGGCAAAGCGTAAGCAGGGTACACAGCAGAGATCGCAGGAGCCGATCTCAGAGGCGTTGAGATTTGAGGCTCTTGCACTGAGGATTAGCCATCTGTACCTTGTACCAGGATTTTACCAGAATCATCGGTCTGCAACCCCATGACCCCAATAAGGATGAGGACTCGTTGTTGATTTCCTTCACGGTAGTGCCCAACTTCACATGAGAATGTTGTGCAGATCTTTCAAAGTCGCCCCCCAAAACGCCTATTTCCGCTAGGGCTCAGAGATTCTACCCTAAGCTTGGAGAAACCAACCTCATGGCATAGGAGATTGTGCCGAAGCCTGCGTCGAACGCGCCAGCGCCACCAGCGATGTCAATTCTGGTCCCTGACTCTGCTCATCAGGGGATTCAGAACTGAGGGCGAGTTGTTCACCTTGTGCGGGGTGTTAGCGGCTCCACAGCCGGTGTTTTGAGTGCCGACATTGTTTGGGCCAGGCTTCTGAGACGAGCTTGGCCAAAGCCCGGACCTTGTCAGAGGTTTTGCATGTAGCAGGGACCTGGGAAGGGAGGAATACAAGCTTCCTATTGCAGTTGTAGCTCTTTTGCTTATTGAGGCATGTCTGAAATCTGAAATAGGGTCCCTCTATATAACCGCTAAACATGAGGATAGGTATCGTGGAGTTGGCAGTGTGGGCTTGGCTCATGGCTATGTTACGCCGTGTTTTCAAGGAGGGCTGGGTTTGGAATCAAAACAGAGCAAATCCGGACTCCACAGCTAGACGTACTCGTTTTCTGCAACTGTCCTTTGTACTTTGTATTTTTGTGCGATGCGGGCACCTCAAGTTTCCGTTGCAAGGATTCTTGATGCTCTCGCAGCCCGGATTCAGTGCAATTCATGACAAGAGTAGCAGAAACACGAAGTGCATCAGATGAAATAGTTGAACATGTGCTGTCAGGCTCCAGAAAAGCCTGTGCCCCAGAACGCATGTCATGCATTCTTTCACCTGCAGTGGCTAATCCTTGCCAGGCCTGCCGTGCGTGAACTCACCGTCGAGGAGGAGGCAATTTTGCAAGATGGCAAACCCATCACATGGGCCTGCCGAATCACTCGCACAGGCATCCCCAGGAAAAGAACAGAATGATAGATGAAGGTGTACGGCCTCCCCGAAGAAGGTACACTATAACCAAACAAGGGTCACTGCAAACCCTTCTGTGAAAGGCTGTGCGCTTCAACACAGCTCAAGATTTGGACCTGAAAGCTGCACTTTGAAAGCCGCCCGATTCTGCGCACAAAGCACCCGAGATGACAAACACTGACACTATTGCCACCCGAAATTGGCCCACGCAGGTCGCACAACGGCGAGCAGATGCTGCCTCAGTGCATGTCACCCTTCCTTCATGCGGCCCATGGTCTTTTTGTGCAAGCTTCTTGGAAATGCAACCTGTGCTTGGTAGCCACTTGTACATGTCCAGTCATAGCAACATCATAGGTTGGATCGCCCCAGCGTGACCTTTCAAAATTCTTCTGGTATTTAAGATCCTGAAAGCTTTATAGGATGATCTCATGTCTTCGCAAAAGTCAATTCTGGCAAGGAAGCTCAGAAGCGGCGCGAGCGAAGTTACAACGTGGCGGCCAAGTGGGCCTGATGCCTATGACAATTGTTATTGGTTTTCTTCTTTTGGAATAGACTTGAGGAGACATGAAGTCTTTAATGGGAAGCTTCGCGGGTGGCAATGTATTTGTGTGCCCAGTCTACACGCTTTCCCCGAATTTGCCTGGATTTTTTGATTGTGTCCCTTTCATTTTTTTTTTGTGGCGACATGTGTAGTTCCAGGACTTTATGCTGCATGCGGACAGCGTGTGTTATAGGTGTCACTCAACTTCTAACGATTCAAACGTGTGGGCTGGAAGCCGGCATCGCCTACTGCGAAGGCCCAGTCCCAGCAAGACAGCGAGCTGATTCCTTTGGGCGAGGCACTGGTGAGGGCCCGGAAGAATCCCGAAGGGCCATGGGAACTGATTTGCTTTTTGCGTGACATTCTGTGCATATAGTCAGGCTTGTTCACTTACACTGTATACAGGTAGGGGTTCACAGGGGATGTTACAAGCCACACCGTCAAGCGTCTTGATTGTACACATACAATATTTTCATTACACTAAGCATGCGGCCATTTCCTGCTCTCAGAGTGCTCTCCTGTCTTTTGAGCAAGAACCTGAAACATCTTGATCTTGGCGGCTGGTTGAGGCAAACCCCTTCGACGAGAACGAGGCATTCCCTCGAGCGGTGCTGTCCTCAGCCGTGCGTGGGATTGAAAAAGCAGGTGCTCCGCAAATGGTTTCTGTTTTGCTATCTATCTTGGTCATGCCGAGGCAAGACGGCGTGGCTTTTCGCAGTATGCCGCCATCCGTGGTAGGTGACATGGGACGGTTTGGTTGCAGCTTCCCCCTCTGTACCTGTAAGTTCTTCACCACGAGAAGTCATTCGGGCTTGGCTTTGTCGTAGCTGTTGTAACGTGAAGGAAGTCTTGCATGAGTAAGCGATGTACGCGCCATGAGCAGCTGGTGTTTTCTGTCCTGTGACAGGTGATGGTGGGCGCTTGCCTCTGAGGGCTGGCTGAGAAGGGGGACGCACGCCAAACAAAAATGATAAGTAGCTAAAAGAAGTGCAAAGTGGCTGACCCATGAACCCAGGTAAAGTATAGAGGTGTTGCCCAAATCCATGACTTGAAGCAACCTTGTTCAGACAAATTGCAGAGCTTCGTACTAGCCCCCTTACGTGCGAGCGTTTCGACCACTTCCAAGACGCGACGAAAAGTGCAGTGCTGTGGAAACCTCAGACCCAGTCAGGTTGTTTTTTTGCAGGGGCAGTGCAGCCATCGAGGAGTTTCACTCGTGTACTCAAGGTCTTGTTGGAGTATATCTTTTCTCGCACAGCATGGAGGAGTTTTCAGTAGCCCTGTTTGCTGCAGGGAAGTCTGCACAATGTGTGCAGGAACAGCGTGCGCGGCGCATGCCCTGAAATAAGATGTCAAAGCACCGGCATTTGGCTTTTCCGACAGTCATGATACCTTTAACATACCAGGAAGGCTTAAACCTGTTAGATGTGCACGAGCCTCGACAGGTTCACCCCACCGACTGATGGTAACAGTCGCCTGTACCATGTGATTTTTGGGTCGGCTGGTGGAGCATCGTAGTGCAGGGAAGGGGCTCCCTTGTGCCCCGGAGGCGCCAGCCTTTGACTCAGTGAAGCTGTGGCAGGGTTTCAGACAGATTCTGCTGGCTTCTTGAATTGGGAGACCAAGATTTAAGATTAGGTAGCCAAGGCTTGCTCAAAGGATAGGGCAAGCGATCACCCCGTGAGTTAAAAAGATCAAGGCTTGGCTGGCGAACGTCGCAACGCGATGGGTGCCCGGTTGCCCAGCAGGTTTTATGAATTGTGAGGTTGCAGCTGCACTGCTGGTAGGCTTCTGTCAGCCTTTTTTTTCTTCTTCAGTTCTTTTTCTCTATTTGGGGATCGTCCAAAAAACCATGTTTAAAGATATATAAGCACG